CAGTCAGTAAGGAGGCACCAGATGGTAGAGATGGGACCAAGCTGGACTGTTAAAGCAAAAGTTGAGGTTTGCATATAACTTTGGCTGCCCATATCTCTGAATATATGGCTTTTACTGAAGGTAACCTCTGCATGCTCAGTTTAAATTGCCCATATCAGTGAGAGGTTTATGACACTAAACTTAAGTTTAACCTTAAAAATGCATTTAAGTACCTCAACTATTAACAAAACTGTACCGTATGTGTGCATGTGTGCTGTAGATCCTCAAATCATCTCTGAATTGGTGTTGACACTGTCCTTCCTTCTGGAGTGTAGACATGTGCGTGTTTTCATTGGGGTTTTTTGTTATTTAGTTTTTTTGTGATTCGGGTCCGAAAGTCAATTTGTTTCAGGATTCAGATTCAGAAGAAATCCGAATTTTAGTTAATTTAGTTGGCGGTAGTATGTACGTATTTTCGTTATGAACAAATTTTTGATGAACGACGGCCACCGACTCGCAGAAATTTAAAAAAAGTCCCGTCGCACGCCGACCCGTCCAAACCCGACAAAGACTCGCCACAAATGGACAGCTCCGGCCCGAATGTAAACACATGAGAGAAGCGAGCCGTGATGCCTCGGGCCTTGTGCCGCCTATTTGACATTCTGAGCTGTCATTCTTCTAACAAAAGCAAAGTCTTTCCAAATAGCATTCGGGAGCTACCGAATAGCACTGGTGAGACCACATGCAGCCCTGGTGAGACTACATGCAGCCCTGGTTGAGACCGCCCACAGCCGTGGCGAGAGCGCCCACAGCCCTGGTAAGACTACACACAGCCATGGTGACAACGCAGACAGCCCTGGTGAGACCACAAGCAGCCATGGTAAAACCGCTCACAGCCATGGTGACACTGCTCGCAGCCCTGGTGAGTCCGCACACAGCCCTGGTGAGACAACAGATAGCCCTGGTGAGACTGCACATCCCTGGTTAAGAAGCTGCACAGGCCTGATGAGACCACACACAGCACTGGTGAAACCTGCACACAGCCCTGGTAAGATCCCATACAGCCTTGGTGACACTGCACATCCTCCTAAGACCATACACAGCCCTAGTGAGACCGCACATAGCCCTAGTGAGACCACACACAGCCCTGGTTAGATCCTGCACATCCTCCTGAGACCCCACACAGCCCTTGTGAGACCCTTAGCAGCTCTGGTGAGACCGCATACAGCCCTGTTAAGACCTCACATATCCTCCTGAAATCCGACACAGCTCTGCTGAGACCGCACACAGCCCTGGTAAGACCCTGCACATCCTCCTAAGACCCTGCACAGCCCTGGGTAGACCGCATGCAGCCCTAGTGAGACCCTGCACAGCACGGGTGAGACCCCACACAGCCCCTGCAAGGACACGCACATCCTCCTGGGACCCTGCACAGCCCTTCTGAGACCCTGCACATTCCACCTGAGACCCCACACAGCCCACCTGAGACCTTCGACAGCCCTCTTGCAACCCTGGAGACATCAGGCCACCACCCCGGAGCAACGCAGAGTAAGTAGCTTCATATTATTCTGCATTGCTGTATAATATATTGCTGGGAATTTTATTATTTTATGTCTGGTGGTATTCTGCATTGCTGTATAATGTATTGCTTAATTTTGTATTCCTCTATAGCTGGTGACAAATTAACCCTTGTAATTGTGCTGAGAAGAAGTAACCCTAACCCAACCAGCCGCAACAATGTGTGGTTTCAAAACCTGAGTGATACAAATAGCAAGTGTGTTGCGCTAGGTCTATGAAAAACAGTGAGCTAACTAACTAATAATCTATTAGGTATGAACACATAAGTGTCCTATCTGCAACAAATATCCGTGAAGACTAAATAACTCTGTGTGATAAATGTTGCTAATGAATATTAATAACATGAATGAACGGATCAAAACAATACAGTGAGTTTCAATAAAACAAACATGGTGAAAATGTCCATAATTAGAATACCATAATAAAAAAATCCCTTACCCAGAGCAATGGGATATATATCATGTCCAAAAGTAGTTTCCAAAACACTCTCCTGGAAACAAACTCCATTTCAATGTCCTTTCTTGTAAGCGGACCTTAACCTTTTCAGAAAGGAATGTCTCCTCTCCCTTCCATCTCCAGTCTCCCAAGGGGAGAAGGGAATTCCACGCTCTGCTGCCAGTTAACCTCTGGTATTCTAATTATGGACATTTTCACCATGTATGTTTTATTGAAAGCCACTGTATTGTTTTGATACGTTCATTCATGTTATTAATATTCATTAGCAACATTTATCACACAGAGTTATTTAGTCTTCACAGATATTTGTTGCAGATAGGACACTTTTGTGTTCATACCTAAAAAATTATAAGTTAGTTGGATCACTTTTTTTCATAGACCTAGCGCAACACACTTGCTATTTGTATCTCTATAGCTGGTTGTATTCTGCATTGCTGTATAATGTATTGCTGGGATTTGTAGTCCTCTATAGCTGATGGTATTCTGCATTGCTGTATAATGCATTGCTGCATGGTGGGCCTCTATATTGGATCAGTGTCTTTAGACCTGCTTCTGTGCTCTCATCTTTTGGTGCACTGGGAAAATAGAAGCAAGCCCAGAAGTGGCTCCTAAATTAACAAAGCAGCACTGGAGAATGAGGCAATTTGAAGCCTCACCTCTGTGGGGGTGGGGGGGAGCAACTCTGAGTCTTTTGCCCCGGGTGATGGAATATCTAGCTTCGCTACTGAATGCATGTAACATGCAAAACAGTGTATAGTGTGCAGCAGTCTGTAGTGTGTGATGTACAGTACGATGTACAGAACACAGTGGTCAGGAGTACACAAGGACCAACATAACTCAGAGTACAACTGTCTAGGGTATTAATGTATGTGAAATAGATAATCTGCGCTTCTGGAGAAGAAACTAAAGTAAAAAATATGTTGTTTTAATTAAGACCTAAAGCAGCTCTAAAATAGGATGGGAAAATCCTTTCAGCGGTCAAGAAATATGTATCAAAGCGCTAAAGGTATAAGTGGTATGAAACTTGGTGCAACCAGGTAATAAAGTGAAAGTAGGGTTTAAGCGATCTGGCCTAAACCCAATACTAAACAATTCAAAAGAAATCTTACATGGGATCATGAAACAAAAGAAAAAAATATATTAATAATTCAATTATACTGTGAAAAACAAGATAGTGATTAAAACAGTAAAGGAATTTAACCACTGTGTAAAAACCATCCAATATATAACGATATATAAACGATCCACACAAAAAAATCGGAGTACAGTGTTCAGTGAGAAAAAAAACGTAGAAAAACGTGTGCAGAGGAAAAATTATTGTTGATGGTATATATTTCTTAGCGGTGGTCCAACAGCCCCTCTTGGGTGGGTACTCACCAAATGGAGTTAAAACGAAGGCTTTGGCTTAGTGACACTTGGGCTTGTAATCACGCTTTCAAACTTGGACCCAGTCGTTTCCACTCTAAGACCCAGCAAGGTGAGTGTTTGGTTTTCTCCCTTGTAACGTTAGCTGTGTCCCAGAAGCGAAGCTGGATCCTTTCAGATGTAGTGTTAGCGAAACTCCTTGCCGTGGTCCCGCAATATTTTAAGAATGAAAAAATATATGGCTGAATACTCCTGTCAGTTCACCAGAAGCATTGCAGTGTACAGGACTTCAACACACTTCTACTATTATTCCACTATTGTATTGCTTTGTTTAACATTTTCCTTCTATTGTTCTGTTTAATATTGGTTCATTTTTGCATCCAATACTCCTTTTTTGAGTTACTTTAGTTTTTGACCGTTATATATAAATTGTTTTATTTGGTACAAGTACAGATGCCTTTTGTGGGATAGTTGGTAGAGGTCTTATGAAGCGCGAGTAGACAACCAACTTGTCAACTGTCTCATACCATTGGTAAGAACATTTTTTTGGTTCGGAAATACCAGTCCATTACTCTTCCAACATTGATCTACAGTATATTTTATTAGTGTGCAGACCCAAAGGTAGTTTTCTAATTTTATTTTTTATAGTTTACCTTTTTTACAGGTATCCTGACTGCGGCCAGCTGTGGCTGTCAGAGATAGGGAAATATGCACCTCTGGAAGGTAGGATTGGATACTTTAGAAAAATCAGGCTATGTAGGCAGGATACATTTACTTTACATGATAATCCTTTAAAACATTATTCTATATGACAGATTTAACCAGATAAAAACATACTCACAAAAGTGGAATTTTTACAGGCATGAATAGGTAAAATCGTCAAAAAAAAAGCTTAGCCCACCGGCTACTCTTCCTCCCTGAGGTTAACGTTTCTGAGGCCACGCCTCCTTCGTCAGAACCAATTGAAGAGTAGCCGGTGGGCTAAGCTTTTTACGATTTTACCTATTCATGCCTGTAAAAATTCCACTTTTGTGAGTATGTTTTTATCTGTTTAAATCTGTCTCATTAAAACGGTTTTACGCGATGGAGGCGCTCTTTTGTTTTTGTTTCTTCCAGAGTTGAGGCTTTCCCAAAGCCTGTCTGAGAGCCTGCCCCATCTGCGGTTCATTTTGAGACCATTTCAGATATTCTCCGTGTTTGGATACAAGCCGCTGGCGCTTTGTTATATACTGTTTGATTATTCTATATGTTTTAAATAGAGCAGACCAAGTATTTTAAAGAGCAGTTTAGCAAATTATATTCTTTTTAAACCAAGCAGTTTCCAGAAACTGCTGGCAGACATATTTTGTATTTCTGAATTTAGAGACTTCAGCATAAGAATTCCTTCAGAGTTAAGAGTGTAGGATAAAGAGCTTACAAAGGTCTCGTCATCTCACCCAGGGTTAGGACCTCCTTTCATAATCCCTCGGATTACCTCTCAGCACTCTTTTTGTTAGTGCTTGTTTCGGTGCTGAATATAGGAAAGCTTCTTCTACTTTTTTGGAGGGTTTTATGGGTGAATATTTACTAAACCATACTCTTCAATGGATTAAAGAGTAATTTAGCATTTCCTCAAATGCTAAACATGGCAAACCCAAGTACTGAAGATCAAGAACAACATGCAGCTTGATAGACTGCAGACACCTTAACTTTGGAGGCTTCTCAGGAAAAGGAGCCCAAATGCCTATCCAAAATAACAAGGTAGGCAATGAAGCATGCATAAACTCCCTGAAAGTCAAAGAGGAATGCTCTACAGTGGTGGAAGCACTGAATAAGGTACATATTCTTGACTATTACTGCTCATACTAAAACCAGGGTCATATTTAACAGGAGCTATGTGTTGTGGATAGCTGAATTTAGAAAATAATATAAAAAACAATATTATTATATAATACTCTTTTTATATATTAAAAAGTTAATATTTTTCTTTTTTTTTAATTTCATTTTATATCCACATCTAAGCCTCCTCTAGAAATCATTCAGTTTGATGATGATACATTTGTAGAATGTATCTGTATTCTGGTCGCTGTGCTATGTCTATTGCTTAAGGTCATTGCAAGGATATGTGCTGCATACTGAATGGAATCCATGGAGGAGGACCAGGATGATCCAGGCAGTGTAGCAGGATAAGAATAGACATAGTAGGATTATGTGTGTAGGTGTAAGATTGCGAGGAGCATCAGTTTAACTGCATGAAGTATAGGATTATGTATTTCCAGCACAGACATACATTTGCTCTTTTTTGCTTTGATTTTATAGAATGACAAAATGAATATATCAACATATTAGGTGATCATTGGTATATAAATACATCTATGAATGGTTCAACAACACATGCTTTATTGTGTTTGGACAAGGGCTGACTCTTCTTGCTATACGAGGAATGCTCCCTAGATCTGTGCTTTAGAAAAGCTTTCATAGACATCAGAGTGCAGGCAGCCATGCAAACATGATTTGATCATTGTCAAGACAAGCAATTGCAGTCAGGTCCCTAAACATAAAGTTGCATCATGCAACTGTACGTGTGTAGCCTGTAGAGGAAGGAGAGAAAAAATGTGTGTTTTATGTGCTAACTTCACTGTTGGTAAACACAAGCATTCAAACAAGGTTCTCAAACAATCACTTCTACCCCTGCAAAGCCTCAGACGGTGGTAGTCATCAGACTAACTGAAAATGGTGAAAAAAGCAAAATGGCAAAAATCTTTTCTATGGTATAGTGCAAATTTTTATTTGAAAAAAACAGTGATTATTGAAAAAAGACTTGTTTATAATAAAACATTAGAGAGCTTTAAACTGATGGGGCTTAAACTGCCCCTTAGCTTTCATCATTTTCATGACACAACGACAAGCTGAGCTCCAGGATAAGCAAATATTGTGTAAATACAAGAGACCGGTGTATTCCTTCTTGAATCTTGGTGTACTTTGTGTATATCATCCAGATCTGTGCAGTGATTCAACAGGAAACTTTGCCTCTGGGCAAGAACTTTCTGTCATAAAGACCAGTCACTGCTCCTCTCTCTCCTTGTACCGTATGACTGGTCTTGTATCCACCCTCCTGTCATTTTATGCAGGTAGCCTGTAGTGGGTGGACCTGCTGGGCCCTCCCATAGCTCTGTTCTCTAAATTATGTCACTGTTACTTTTACAAGGTAATATTTGTGTTTATAAAGGCATTTGGTGTGGACAAAGTGGATTTATATCCTTTGTAGCTAATGAGGAATATATTTAGATTATAGGTTTTTTTTGCTTGGATCTCAGCTTTAAATTCGTTGCTGTGAAACTTGCTATACCTAAACATTAAACCCTCAGATTTTTTTACATAAACCAATACTGTAATGTGTGCCTTACTGTAATCCATGGTAGTTTCCCTTCTCTTTGCTGCTCTTACAGTAAGGCACACATTACAGTATTGTTTTATGTTAAAAAATCTGAGGGTTTAATGTCACTTTAAAGTAAAGAGTGATTTTTTTGGGTTCATATTTTCATGATGGTCTAGTGAGCGCAAATCCAGGGACTGCCTGATTTATTTACGAGACTGAAGACCCCTGTTCATTTTGTACTACAATAATTACTTTATTTTGTCCATTTAAAATGAAGCTTTTATTTTAAAATAAAGCAGCAGAGTATATTTGAACCATTAACCCTGCACACTGCCCAAGTATTTAGGGCGGGCACAGAGTTTAAACCAGCTTAGGTAATAGTTCCTCCAGGATAGGCAGTGGCTTACTCAGAGGTGGCAGGGAGCAGGGTCGTCCTCCCAAAAAACTATTATCCCGGAACATCTATATTAGGGCTGTGCAAATTAATGATTAATTTCTCAATTACATCTTTTTGATCGATTACATTTTTTTGATCTTATTAATCGAACACGAAAATTTTAATCAGTAACAGCCCTAATCTATATCTCTCGTCACTGCTCATTCACACTGGTTGCAGTGCGTTCCGGCCCAATTCTGTCCAGAATGCACTGCCTTGCATTGCGGTCAACTCACTTTTTAGTGGGGCAGGAGGGGGCGTGACGGGCCATTGAAGTGAGTGACACCATAGCCACGCCGCTGGCCGCAATGCGATCGGCCGCACGGGATCGCAAGGCACATTATGCCTGCGGTCTGGTCCGGTGCGATCAAAATAGTGCTTGCAGCATTTTAATCGCACTGGACCGGACCGTGTGCCCGATCGCATTGCGGCCGGAAGGCGTGGCTACGGTGCCATTCACTTCAATGGCCCGCCACGCCCCCTCTTGCCTCAGAAAAAAGTGAGTTGACCGCAATGCAGTGCGTTCTGGCCAGAACGCATCTGGTGTGAACGAGCCCTAAGTGCTCAACCCCCTCAACCCACTCAAAAAAATAACCCTCTTTTGAAAGGCCTCTCAATGGCTGGTAGGGTGCTGGTAGTGGACCAAGCAAGCTTTCTGAAGGTGCTCCCCTTTTTTAGCCACCTTCCAATCTTCCAGGCCCTAGGATATGCCCATTTTCCATTCCTTGGGACTGGATTCTAAACCTGATAGACATTCCCAGGAAGCAGGCCTGAAAGGCAAAAAAGGCATGTGACATTTCCAGGAGTGTCGAATCCCTGTGTCCCCTGCTATGCATTGGGTTCTTTTTCCAACCCCTATGTCACTGCTGATTTCTGTAGTGACACAGGGTTGGAGAAATGAATGAAAGCACTTGAGGGGGGCACAGGCATCCCACATTCCAATCAACTTTTGCAGGGTACTTGTATTTGAACTATGTTTTGCCCTAACAGGGTCATTTAAAGTAAGTTAGAGCCAAATAGGCTCCTAAACTCCTTCTATCAATAGTACAGGCCAGAGGAAAGCAAACTCCGGGCCTCCATCTGTCGTGCAACTACAAATCCCATGAGGCATTGCAAGACTCTGACAGCCACAGGCATGACTCCCAGAGACAGATACATGATGGGATTTGTAGTTTCACCACAGCTGGAGGGCTGGGGTTTACCTACTCCTGGTATGGGCCCTAAACAGACTTCAGATCAGATGCTGATGTTACCCTTTTGTACTTACCCTATTTAAAGGATATACTGTATCTACTTCTCTTACTTTGTTTACCTCTCTCAGTAGGAATTGTAAATTTTTGTGCTGCCTTGCTAAATATTGTACATTGTTACCAAAAATGCAAAATGTTATATATGTAAATATAGCAACAAACTCTTTAAGATTAACTCCATTACAAAAACTAGAGGCCACCACCTAAAATTGGTGGAGAAAAAATTTCAGCACAAGGGGTGAAGGGGGTTTATCACAGTAAGAGCGGTTAGGGTCTGGAACTCACTGCCACCTTCAGTGATTTCAGCTAAGAGTGTGGAATCGTTCAAGAAACTTTTGGATGATTTCCTGAAGGACCGTAATATACAGGGTACAAGTACTCCTAAGAATGAGATGATACATGGACTATACTCATCAGCAATAGGTTGGACTTGATGGACTTATGTCTTTATTCAACCTCAAATACTATGTAACTATGTAACTATATTGCAATTTTATACGGAATCGTGTATTTTTTCTACAAAAAAAATAAAATTTTAAACGTTTCACAGATTGATGTTGATATTTGGAAGTATAAAAGCTATCATTTAATATTCTCTCTTATTTTTGTGTATGTATTGATGTGAAGGTGGTGGCATGCTACAGACACTTGGCAGTCTCTGTGGGAAGCTCCTCCGACAGTAAACGTCTGCGCGATGAATTGAGACGCACTCGAGAAAGGGCCCAAGAGTTGGCAATAGGCAACAGGAACAAACTTACAGCAGCTCTTCGGGATAAACAACTGAGCAAAGAGGACCGCATGGAGTTAGAGCGCTTGTGGGTTCAGTTTTCCAGTGGCTTAGAGCTTTTCCACAATGACATGTGTAAGGTGTATGAGCTAGGTCTATCTGTTCCTCTCTCTGCAAACAATCAGCCAGCGATACAGACTGGTGCTACAGGTAAGAAGAAATGTATAGTGTCAATGTATAAAAGGTTAAAAATATAATAGGGGGAGTATTAAAGCTGGAGCAGAGGGAATCGGGAGCAATTGCCCATGGCAACCAATCAGCTCCAGTCTTTCATTTCCAAAGCTTAACTGAAAAAACTAAAGATAGAAGCTGATGGTTATGTTACTATGGACAACTGCTCCATATTCTGTCTGCTCCAGTTTTGATACATTCCCCCCTTCAATGATTTTTTACTGTGCTCAAGATTAGAAGTCTAATAACTTCAACAATAGCCTTTTTAGCCTTTTAAGCCTTTAAATACATGTACTGTATAGGCTAACAAATGAATTAGTTGCTTGAGTACATTCTTAAAGTAAACCTGTAAGTCATTCTACAGTTTTAAAAGTCTTACCACTAGGTACCTTCTATTAACATTGCTAACCGAAATCTGTGTGCCATTTTGAAATATGTTTCAGCTTGTTACTAGGGGCTTCACTTCTCTGGCTTCAAGCAGAAGTAAATAAAAGAAGCTAGGGTGTTTATACAAATCAATATTTCTTCTATTAAAATTGCTGCCTGTCTGGCTGTCAGCAGTTGTGTCCTGAGTCGCACATGAGCAGCTCGGAGCATAAGTTCGGCAAAGTCCTGTGCTGAATTGAAGTAACTTCCATGCATATGTGTGGGAGTTACATCATCCTGGCCCAGTCAATTAAGAGGCCAAAGACAGCGAACCCAGGAAAAGACAGGGGAAATATTGAAGTACGGTAACAGAGGGGAGCACAGACAGCCCAGCACTGGAAAGAAACCCTGCCGGCAAGGTAAGTCTGCCATAATGTGCTAATATGCTGTGTATGCTAGCAAATTATGGCAAATATCTCCTGCAGGCACAAAATGTAAGATTCAGTTTGGAGGTTTACTACCACTTTCAGGACTAAGCCCTGATAATGGCCATCTCCCCCCACAATAGATAGAGTGCCTCAGTAGCCAGTAGATCTCTTTTAGGTATATAGGTGATTTTATTTTGCACTATGTTTTTTAATGTTTCTCAGTTTAGTTTAAGTGCAACTACACAAAAATAATTTTCCCAAAGCTATATACACATATATAGATCTATATAGATCTATATAGATATATATCTATATATCTATATAGATATATATCTATATATAAATATAGATATATCTATCTATATAGATATATATACTGTATATATACATAGCAAAGATTTTAGAAAACTTTATAGCAGATTCTTCTGTTTTATATATGCATGTCAGCTTCTCTCCCGATGTACAATACCCTTAGAAAGTATCTTACCTAAGATTAAAGGCTCTGCAGCAAAGCTAATACTCCTTGGCATTTTATGTGCTGACCACAACTACCAGTCTATTCCTAATGGGACTCTGGGTTCAGCAAAAGCAGTGTGATGCATTATGGCTCTTGTGTATTGGCTCTTGTTTGAACATAAGCTGCTTTTGTTCTCCATATAAGTCACTTTAAATCCAAAAGTATATTGAAGCAGCATGATGCAGCTCAGAAGCAACTTTCTGCTCAAATGAAAGAAACTGAAATGTGAGCCAAAACAATAACAGATAAACATGAAAGCTTACTGCATTTGATTTCTGAATCTAAAGCCCATCTACACATGCCCTTACAAAACCAATGGTTAAGGTATTCACCTATAGCTCCACCATGTAAAAAATAGCAGTGAAGAACTGGTCAGCTACAGCACACAATGACATAAGATAATTTGAGGGTATATGATTCGTTTTTATGCTACAGAACAGTGGCCCACCTTTAACAACATTTTACCTAAAAGGGTATGCACAGTTCTTTTGTACTTTTTTTTTTCCGTGTTTATCATCGCAGGATTAAACAATACATTTTTACACTATATATTTTTTTGGGACAGTAAATATAAAATATTACAGATTAATATTGTGCATTTTTATATTCACCTATATTCAGGTGAAGTTTTAGGCTTTTTAGGCCTCGTTCACACCATCCTGAGTGTGTTTCGGCCTGATTGTGGCCAGAACGCCCTGGATCGCATTGCGGCCGGCTCAGTTTGTTGTGGGGTGGGAGGGGGCGTGGCGGTGCAGTGAAGTGAGCCAAGCCCTCCGGCCACAATAGGATCGGCTGCACAGAAACGCAAGGCACATCAATGCCTGCGGTCCAGTCAGAAAAAATAGTGCTTGCCTTGCGCTAGCGCCGGCCCTGGGTATGCTACTGAATGCTCTTCCCCAGAAATGTCCTGGGACAAGACTGCTCCTTGGCCAACATCAGAGGGATCTGTTTGTACAAGAAATTCTTGAATGAGGTATTGGTTGGTTAATAATGGTCCCTTACACAATACTGCCTTCATCTCTTAAAAAGCTATATTTGCCTTTTCATTCCATTTCCTTGGTGGACTTGCTCCCTTTGGTGAAATCAGTGGAGTGGAGCTGCTTTAGTAGCAAAGTTATGCACACAATTTCCAGGAGTATCTTACATTCCAAAGAAAGGTTCTGACCTGCCTTTTTACACTGGCTGGAGCCAAATTGTATTTACTTCAATCATGTCTATTTAAGGCTTTATGAGCCCCTTTTTCAATGGTGTAGCCCAAACACCATAATTCTTCCAGACCTATTGTACATTTTTTTTTAATTAGATGTTAAGTCAGCCCTATTAATAGAATCTGAAACTCCCTGGACCTTTAGTAAGTGGGAATCCCCATCAAGACAGAAAATGACAACATCTAGATATGGTGAATCATATGCTTTATGTGGTCCATCATTCTTTGTATTCCCGGGCCCCATATATACCAAAAGGGAGACTGGTACAGCCCTTTTGGTGTCACAAAAGCTGTATTTTTCTTTGCCCTGTCTGTTAAGGGAGCCTGCCAATTACCATACGTGGTTATGTGTCTGGTGGAACATTTTTATAAACTCATTCACCCAGGGCATGGCTGCCACCTGACCCAGGGATGATCCCTATGGGACTTGACCACTTGCTGTTAGATTCATCTATAGAGATAACATTTCCTGTACCTCTTCGGAAATGGCTTTTCTCTGAGCTTCAGATACCCAATATGGTTTTAACTTTACTTTGGAGTAAGGTGCCTTTGCATTTTAGACTAAGATTACAAACAACAGTTTGTCTCTGCCTAAACCTTTTTTTTAGTTTTGCATTGAGTAGAGAGAGGAGAGACTCTCCTTCATGTTTTATTATTGTTTGTGTCACCGTTGAGAAGATTTCACCTCCTTCAGGTTATATTATTGTTCATGTCATCATTGATATGACGGCTTCTTTCCTGTCCGAATGACATCACCAGAAGTAGGCTGAATCTCCTCAACAACCACATAGACATCAATAATTAACCAAAATCTATTTACTAACAAAAATGTTTGGCTGAAATTGGGCTTACCACGTAAAGTGAATGGTCATGATGTATAATGAATAAATAAATAAATCATAAAATCATAATACAAAATGTAACCCTGCTACACAGTCTGCCATTTCTTCTTCATTTCTTTCTCACTTAAAGGATTAGTTTATCTTTTTACAAAGTGAAAAGTTAACTCACAACACCCGCGCACCCCCCAACCCCATTCCCCCCCTCCCGGTCCCCGCTACCCTTAGCTGCTTAGATGACAACTCACTGCAGCCTATGCCAGCTAGTGCAACAGGACACACACTTCGGAAGGGATACACACCTGAAGGCTGTGTAGCATTATAATGCTCGCTATAGTGACCAGTCATTGGTCAGTGCGGCCACATGACTGTGCTGGCCAACAACTGCTTGCTATTGGCAGCATTATGATGCTACACAGCCTCCGGGGCTGCGTAGTGAGGTTTTGAAGTGTGCGATGAGAGGTTGTCCTCTAAGCAGTGTTATGTAATGGGGACTAGGTGGTGGGGTTGGGGAGGGTGTAGTGAGTTAGTTAGTTCCCCTTTTCATGGCCATACTTTTACATATACCAATACTCTGTACAGCAACCCATACTGCCTGTACTGCTAGCTTTTATCCATTTTGCCTACCTCTGACAACTAAAATTACTCAGCTGACTCATTAAATCGTGTGTGTTTAAATTTGAGCTTGAGTGGTCAAGCTCTTTTAACAACTGGAATTTTTTCTATGTTGGAAAAAATTTTGCTACAAGTATCAACTTTTCACTTTATCTGCAGGCATATTTAGGGCCCTTTACTACATACAATCTCACTAAACACATCAGGCTATTTATCTTACAAAGTATTAATGTCTAATCTCCTTTCACATTCCTAGTGACCCTGTAAACATATGCACCTCTAATAGTTATCCGCTTTCATAATGTTGCACTAGCCAAGTCATTGAAGAAAGATTTGAAAGCTTTGTCCTTGAGAAAGGGTTATACACGCAAACAAATAAATGGAAACAGATGAAAACAGTTACTATTACGTACCAGACTGAGATGTGAAGAATGCAAACTGTAAACTTTGATACATTTCTACAATAAACATGCTCAAATTATCATTTAGGAATGTGGCAAGTTATTTTTCTGTGTAAACAGGTTACAAAGACCTCTGTTGCAAAAGTGTTTCTTCAGTCAGGTTATTAAAAATGGTTTATGTGTCTGTATTTTCCAGTCTACATTCACTATGAGTAAAGATATCAATGCTAGACCCATTGTGCCCTAGAAACAGCCTTCTTGTTCTAAAGTGCCTTTTATGTTTTCAGGCAGTACTTCCGCTATTGCCTCCAGGGCATTGAGTGTCCAGAACATCACCTACGAGTCACCTTCATCAAATAACAAAGAAAGGCTGGAACACAATGAGCTAGAAAATGAAATACTGAAGGTGGACCAGATGATCACTGACATGGAGCTCAGAGTTAATGTTCTAAGGTGGACTGTAGAAGCAACAGCAAATATGAATGATGAGCGTGATAACAATGATGTCTCCTCCACAGCTTTGCTCTCAGTGGATGAAAAAGAAAGTCACAACTGCTGCAATGGGTGCGGTTTATTGTTTCTTTGATTGTATGTGGTGCAACACTAGTAGCTCTCGTATTTTCTTCTGTTCTGTAAATGTGATCTTAATTCCTGGTTAGTTACGCAAGGTTTTGATTTACTACTATTTATATGAAGACAATTAAATCATGAATTTATTTATTTACATAAATGTGTACGAACTGTGATGAACTGAATTTAAACTTTAAAATGCTACTAAAACTTGTGCAGGAGTCTAGATAGCAATATGAGAGTCCAATAATATTAAAGAGAAACAAACTAAGAAAATTAAAATTCTGAAGGCAACAAAATTATCCCGGATGTTATGTCATATAGAAGCAGTAAAAGCTTGGCTTCTTCAACTATAAAAATATTCATTCCGAAATTATTATAACTGTGCAAGCCTATCCACTCAAAATTTTAAGTTGCCCTCTTATATAACTTTGATTACTTAGTCTGACCCGTCATATTGTGTCACAGTTCCTTTTTCATACAGTTCAGCAAATGGTATGGGCTATTTGCTCATCTGTGTGGATGCCCAAATCAATGTTACCAGGCCTGCATTTCTTTTTCTTGTACTTTCTAGATCAAGACTTAATTTGTAAGTAATAAAACTGTAGTTGAGAGCAGCGTTATATAAATGACAAAGTCATACCCAGCACAGGAATGTGCAACTCCAAGCAAAATTCCACTCTATTATTAAATGTTAAGTCATATCAAAATGAGCCTGCCTTCCAGCCATAAGAACCACACTCTATAGGTCAAGCCTTTCAAATAAGTAGATAATTATGCTTTATTTCTGAATTAGCAGTATGCAGCCCTATACACCTTTTAAGATAGACTGCATGAAAAATGAGAAAGATGTTCAAATATGACACTTCCTAAATCTAGCTTTAATCTTTTCATGTGAACTTACATAGAACATAGTGGCATGGAGTATAAGTTTAAAGGATAACAAGAGCAAAAATGTAATTTATTGCTGTGTACCAGTCCCTAGATATGGTGACTGCATTAGTTTTAATTTTTCAGGCCAAGAACAATGTTTCCGGCAAGTACAGGAAATATCTGTTGATCTTGCCAGACATGCGGTGTCCTTGTCACTTCCTGTGACCTTAACTGGAAGTATTACTTTCCTTCTGTAAATAACTTTTACCATCCAAAATATTGGAGATGAACAATGGCAGATCTGTTTGAAGTCCAGCCTGGCTGACAGCCATGGCTCCCTCCATGCATACAGTAGAGGAGTGAGTATAACCACTTAGACCCAGAAAGTGTGTTATTGAAAGGATAACCAGATGAAAATAAAGTGGGGGGGGAGCTTTAAAAAGAAAACAAATAAAGTCACCTGATCTAAGGACTGTAAGCTGCATACCTCTATATAACATTTGTGTATGTGTGTTTAGATACGTTGAGATGCCTACGTATAATGAGGGGAGGAAGAAGTTAGTTATTACTGACTGCCAATGCCCACCCCCACTCATCTCTCCTAGCAGAGAAAGCAGTCACACAATACGTCAGTTTACCCATATAGCCCAATAGCATGAGTGTCATGGATGCCCTCTGTAATAAATCCTTCTTAGTAATATAAAAATGTTATGAAAAGTAGAATTTACTAAACATTTTAAAATAAAACAGAACACAAATGATTACAGTCTCCCTTTAAAGGTACAGGTAAAAGTCCTGCTTCTAGCTCCACCATCTAGTAGATCACTGACCTAAAACAAGTATGAAGGATGGGAGTTTAGACTTTTCAGACTTCAGTAAAATCATGCTTGTCCTGGTCAATGACTTGTGAATTTTGGATCAGGATGAAAGCCACAAGTTTGTAGTATAAAACAACAAATCAGCAGTGACAGCCCCAATATTTCCACCCCCAGAGGTTTGCTTTAATATTAAAGGGCAGACAGTCAAGCATTGCATCCTATTATTATACAACTTGCGTCATACTATTTTAGCTAGACAAACACCTGCGCATGTCCATTTAAAGTATAGATGCAAGTAAAGGGGGAGTTTAAATTTAACATGCCATTTATTGGTGAATGCGTCTATATACATCCTGGAAAATTGGATGGCTTTGGTAAGCCATTTGAGGAAATTGTTTCCAAATATTAAACAATACCCCTCTAGCTATGTTCAAAAACAATATCACAAATTGATGTCAACACTTGCTATTCCTGTAAATAAATATATGTGTATATTTTATTTACTGACTCATCAAGCTAGCCTATTTGGATTTTTTTAATTAAAACATGTCAAAATAACCCAATAAAGATGATGTGTGAAATTCTAATAATGTTGTTGTACTAACAAATGATGGTCTATGTTATATTTCCAGTTGGAACACACCACTTATTTTTATTGTCTAAACAGTTTAATTTTCTGGTGGTTATCCTAAAGTAGAGCTGACGCCAAAATGTTTAGTAAGTAACTTTAGAGTAAGACAGGGTTATAACCACTGTCAGCTTTTTTTGCCATCTGTGTCCCATTGGTGAGATTTTCCTTCACATCCTGTCGATAACCACAACAGGAAGTAAGAGGAAATCCCTCTCTGATGGTCAGCAGGGTCACCAGAACTAGTATTACCACTGGAAGATTTCCTATCTATTCCTGTTTGGCATTTTTTCACCTTCAGTACATGAAAATAACCTCTAGTTTACAGTCTACCCGTTTCATACACCACCTACCGATACCTAGTATCGCATCCAAAGTAATTCCAGGTCACATATATACTATTATAATTATTATATTATTTTTTATGTTATTATTAAAAAAAATGTAAATTATTTTATTAACTGATCACATATGCGATACAAGCATGTTCAAAAGAGGCATAAGTAAACATAACATACAAGTACATGGTATACATGCAAGGAAAATCTTCAACGCCATGACTACACCACCCGGTCTGAATCGTCTGACCCCGATACCCCATTGGACCTGTGAGTGCTTTAACAAAGGTTTAGATTGTATCGTAGAGAACGTCCCTGGGCTGTGTCAGGTGTTTAAAGTGACAACAAAATCCTATGTCTAGCTACGCTGCCGGATCAATTGTGTGCGTCTGCTCTATCCTCCCGAAATAAGAAATACAAAAGGATGGAAGAGAAGTCAAGGAAAGGCTGAGCTGAAGGAGTGCAGGCGTCCCGTACGGGAGCAGGTGTGAGGTGGAAAGGGCAAAGGAAGGAGAGGTTCCACCGGGTCGCCCCCCCCAGGCTAGTAAATCCCTGGGGCTGCCACTGGGAGCCTAAAAGGCGTCGGGCATTCAACCATGTATGACTACTGGGAGACGGAAGGGGCCAGTGGAGTAATGATTTGTGCATCTCTAGACAGGAGAGCTGCATATCGGTCCGAGTGCTAGAAATAGATCCAGGCCCCCCAGGTAGACAAAAACTGTTTCTCCGTATTCCTGATGGTGGCCGTCAAATCCTCCATGGCATACACTTCCCGCACCTTGGACAACCATATCGTGATCGTTGGGGGATGTGGTTGTTTCCACAACATGGGAATAAATGCCCTGGCCGCGTCTAACAGGTGGCGTGTGAGCGAGCGCTTGTAAGTCGTCAGTGGAGAGGCTGACATATGCAAGAGGCATGCCGCCGGGTTGTTTGACAAGTCCGTCATGGTCAGTTCCTGTATCATGGACAGCACCTGGTCCCAGAAGGGCCTCAGTACCCTACATGACCAGAACGTGTGCAACATCGTTCCTCTTTCCGAGCCACATCGCCAACACTAGTCTAGCTACGCTGATCTGATATGAGGGGTCTCATCCTGTGCAAGAGCCATGGCACTCTGTACCACCGAGACAATATCTTGTAACCTAGTTCTTGCACTTTGCTGGCCATAGAGGATTTGACCGACATGGTGAGTGTGTTGTGGATCTGCTGCTCTGTGAAGGTCATCCCCAATTCCTCTTCCCAACGTTTCACAAAAGATGGGACCATATCCGCAGGCGGTGTGGCAATCAGGTGATAGATGATGGAGATGGCGTGACTGGTGGGCTGAGAGCCGTGCACATCTCTTCGAATACTGTAAGGTTTCTGTCTAGCTCGTGGGAGTCAGGAATTGTCCTAAGAAAGTGCCGGAGCTGCATGGTGCTCCATGGGTCCAGGGGGGGTTCAAGTAGATGACGCAAAGCCTGAGCTGTCAGCCACCCGGAGTTGGCCCGAAAGTCCTTTACTCTGTACTTGTCCGCTTTGACCAGGCGAGCGAGTCGAGCGTTTTCCGCACCCGGGGCGAAGTCGGGATCCCCTATGACAGGAGTCAAGGGTGAGATGTTATTATGAATTAAATAATATTTGTAATATTTGTATTTTATTTGTATTTTATTTGTGATTATTAATATTATATGCTGCTGCTGTCAATCAGCAGAGGTGGACCTGAGGTGCTCCTCTGCTGATTGACAGCAGAAGTTGGTGGGTACAAGAGCAAGCCTGCTATTGGTTATTGCAATTTGAAATGACCAATAGCAGCCTAGCTATTCATTCCCCTGCTAGTTAGTTTTTTTTTTTTTATTGTGAAGGTGGCCGACGGCCGCTGTCAAAATAAAAAAAAACAGAGAAGGTACCTCCCTGAAATGAGAACGTACCTCCCTGAAATGAGAAGGGCACCTCCCTGAAATAAGGTTTTGCAGGTTGGGATGTCTGTAATTCTATAATTACTAGTATTAATATGAAGATATGCAGTAGGATAATTTCGACCCCCTATAAAAAAAACACTTCAAATACTTCCAGCGGTGAAAGTGTGGGGTGATCGCCGAAGCGCATTGCTTCCTCAAGAAATTTCTTCCATTCCACATGGCTTCCTCAGGAGAAGCCAGAAGTATCATCATAAGGGAGCCTTGAAGGGGCCTACACAGGGACATATAGAGGGAGCAACCAAACATCAAGCTAATATTACACCCAGGCTAATTCTATTAGAACTGATCAAACAGAAGCCCAGAGTGGCAACCAACCAGACCCACATAATATAGATGGTATTCCTTAAATTCTGCAGTATTATACAGCAGAGGCGTGGCCAGATGGCCTCAACCAATAGATGCCACAAGATGGCAATATGTTTAATGATAACAGGTTGTTTTGAGTAGAAATTAGCCAAGAAAGA